CTGAACATGTTAGGCAGGTTTTATAACACCTATAAGAAAATATTTACAAATTTCTAATCAAATAAGATTCATTATCGAAAGGGCCATCAGTCTTACTGGATATTATAATTTCCACTTATTGTTAATTATGATTGATTTCTTAAACAATCGATTTCCGAATTTAATAATTGTATTAATCGTTATTAAGAGTACATTATTCTAATTTACCTTATGTTCTCTAGCTGTGTGGTTTGAGACAAATGGAGGAAATTTGAGGATAATTGGTAATATTTACACTTATACATTCATTTTAATCTATAGTGCGGTACCCATAGACATCAATATACAACTAGATCTTAAAATGAGGTTATAAAATATCAAATGTCCTCTAAATTTAGTGGCATATATTGCTTGATTGTTCAAGCACTACTAAAGACATACCTTTAACACAACTAAATACATTATAGGGCTTTTAAATTTAATCTCCACACTTCCAATTAGTAGTGCCTAATGAAATAATTTTATTATTAAACTCTTCATGAACAGAAATTAAAGCACTTTTTGTAGTACCTAATATGCTAACTATAACAATTGAATATAACACTTGCTAAAACATGTTTATTTATTAATATTAATATGTTGAAATAATGTACAGAATTTATAGAATTAATTTTAGGAGTAAATAATTAATTAATATCAATATGGAGTTGATTTGCATTTGAAATCAAAGTATCTAAGTTGATTGTTATTGATTTTTTCCCCATTAAATTAAGTGTAAACCTCTTATTATCTATGCATACAGATAGAAAATATAAAACAAACCCAGTTAAAATACTTAAATTAACAAGAATTTGCAAAATCTATATTTATAAGCAGACTTAATGACCTTCCTAAGAAAAGCTTATAAATCTAAAGGATGCTTCTAACCAAAAAAACGCAAGTAATTGGAGCACCAAATATACTATTCTGCAAAATAGACAGTCATGAATTTATAAAATCAATTAAGGAGGATTTACTTAAGTTAGAATAATAAAAACAACAAATTATTAACATTAGGAGAGTTGTAAAATAATAAAATTTCTAATATTAAAAATAGCGCAAAATTTAACTCATATATAATTGCAGCATTCTTTATAATCTTAACATTGTACTTTGGTAATCCTATCCCTTTTTTGTTTTTTTAGCATCATTATTTTAAGATTAGATAAATTGTCCTTTTAGACATTAATCATTTTATTTATTTTTGTTGTTGTTGAATTATACTTTATGATCCTTTATTAGGATCTTCTTCGGAATTGGCAATGATTATTTAAGGTATAATGTTCTCTTCCAATTAAAAATATTTTAGCCTATCTACTCTTCTATATCTTTTACACAATGTTTCCTTGGCTCTGGACTATTGGCTGAAGACTCTAAGTGATGTTTGTAGAAATAGAACAATTAGAGAAGATTCTACAATTTGTTGGTGAGAAATCACTTGAGATATTCTGAGGCTACTGAAAATAGCTGTGATTTGGTTTGTTTATATAAGCCATAATTAATTATTCTAAGTGGAAATAGAAAATTTCGTCCTTAAATTCATTACTCTAACTTTTGTTTTATACCCTTTAGTAAAAGTAGTGCGAATAATACAATATAGAATTAACCCATTGATAATTTCATTAGTTCTATGTTGATTGAAGATGCTTCCAATTTTGTATTTAATTAATACTCAATAATACAATCGACTTAGATCATTGAATTTTACTTGTATTTAATTTATGGGAAATCTCATAGGATTACTAAAAGTATATAGATTCCTCATCCACCATGCATGTTAACAACGATTACTGAAGAAATTAAATTTATACTCCATTCATAACAATGAAGCTTTTTGAGTGCATAGATAGAGACCTATATTTAAACCAGAATGACTAAAGCCTTAAAATCAGTATTTGAGATGCTCGAAATAATAATGAAACATGTAAATAATAATAATAAATAGTTAATATAATAGCCAATTTGGTAAACAAGTACAATCATTTGATCTATAATCCCCTAACTTGCTCTGACTCCAGAGGTCTTTCATTCAACTTTTTTAAAAGGAAATGGATATTGTATTAAAGATCAGATTTGGGTTCACAAAAGCAGTAGATTTATTTTTATAATCCTGATGAATCTAATATATGGTTTGATCCTCCTACACAACGTAGCTAATTTTTGTAATAAAACCGCATGTATTTAAGCTACAATACAGCAAAATCTACTATTTACAATATTTTTGGATGTAAATTACTCTCAATAAATTTTGACAATCGCTATTATTTATATTTAGTTAATTAACCAGATTGATGATACTAATTCTAAGGATTAATTTAAAAGGCAACAAGATTAAAAAAAACAACTTATAAAAGAGGAATTAGATTATAAAATTGCGAGGAGCAAATATTTCTTGGTATAAATACAACTATACTCTAAGAATGAATCTATTAACTTTAAAAAAATATTTAGTATCCAATAAGTTTAAAATAATTGATTGCTATTTGAATTAATTTTCGATAGTTTTTATCTGTTTGAAATAATTTTGAATAAAAAAATCAAGCATAGCTAAGAATAAATATGATAATTATCATATGATTGCTATATATTAATATAAGATATTAATCTAAATTTAATTCTCAATATTTAACCTATTCAACTAGAAATATAGAGTGCTTTACTCTTAATCCTAATTTAGTTTGCAAGATTGTTAATTGCATCTAATTTTGCTTCTCTGAATCCATAAACTGGATTTTAGTAGCTCCAATCATACTATTTATTTTAACAAACATGAAGTTAAAGTAAAAAATAATAATTTGTAATTCTATGGCTTTGAAAGAAAGTAGGGTTTGTAAGATCAATGCAAATAATAGCATAGCAAGAGAATCTTGATTCTATGTAAAAAGAAATAATAGAAATAAACTAATACAATGGAGAAAATATTCTTAATTTGGGCGACATGTGAAGGAAAAAAGTGGTAGGTTTATGATATTGATTAAAAGACATCTATTAAAAGTCACATTTTTGAGCGCGTCTTTGAAAATAAGAAAGCACAATTGTTTATTTTTTTCAAAAACTTTAAATATTGGATTTTAATAATTTATAGCAGGTACATACATCAATTCTTATAATTAAACTAGATTAATCAATCCTAAAATCTTGAAATAAATAACTTATTCAACAGAACTTTAGAGAATTCAAGGAGCTTGACCATTCAAGAGAGTTTCAATCTGTATCGAATTTGAAACTTTTTATGCTTTTTAAGTTAAAATTTAAAATAAAAACTTCGAATGGCAATGCTGAAGATAAGTTTTTCTTTCTTTAAGATTATAAGTTCATTTTAAATAAATTTATTGGCACTTTGAATTTGAATTCTAGTCTTATAAGAGTAAAAGGCTTAGGCAGAGTTTAATTAATCGAATTTGATAAATAATATCATAGAATTTATACAACTCCATAATGTTGCCAAGTATAATTTAAATATTTTAGCAGGCAGACCTTTAGATGACTGAAGCTTTTAAACTATACAAATAGTTATAAAGTAAGACAGTAACTCTTGGGCTTTTTGATTCTTTTCATTATGTTATATTATTATCAAAACATTTACTTGAAATATATTCAATTTAAATTATTATAGCATTTTTAAACTAAGGATTCTTTATGATGAGAAAACTTCAAAAAGGATAACATTTAAATGATAGTAAGTTATTGAAGGATGAACCATAAGATTAATTTTCTCTAGGTTAATTGATCCCTCTATTCATAAGCGATATTTTCAATTTACTTCTAACTGCTTTAAGTAGCTGATGTTTTAAGCTTAAATACTCACTAGAATCTAATTAGGTATATTTTTAATTAGATATATTTAGCCTACTCAAGGAGTTCCTTTAGTGTTGGCATATAAGGTTGAACTAGTTAGGAAAACTCCCTATTTATGCCTTCTATCGTACCAAAGATTTTCAAAAACTCAAATGTTCACTTCTTGAAGAGATCTCCCTTGGGTGGGACTTTTTTTTTATAGCCATAATTTAAATTCACCCTGGATTTGATATCTCTGTCAAACAAAACAATTAGACCAACATAAATATTTAGAGTAATAGAAGCTTATTATTTGGGATGTATTTAAAATATTAGAATCTGGTTGAAGTTAATTTTTGTGATATATTCATGTGTATTATGTATTTATTAATATCTGATTTAACATATTTCAGAATAAAGTACCAAACTTAAAAATAGGTAATAATTTAACTCTTCTGACAATGGAGGAAATTAAAACTAAGAAAAATGAATAGATTTGAAATTGATATTTAGAATACAAGATTCTCTTATTTACTATCTTTATTTAAACAATAATTAGTTGATACATTAAAGGATAATGAAACGATGAATAATATCTTAAGATCACAGCAGCACTGCTTTAAACTATATAATTAATAGTATGAATAAAAAGAAATTTTTAATGTTTTAGTGACATTCAATAATGTAAAAAAGAAATTCTAGATACTTTATATCGCGTTGTTGAATAGTGAATTTTTGATTGCTAACTGTAATTTATTATTGTATTTGATTTAATTGATTCAGTCAAGATATTTGAATGATAAAGCAAACTACCTTATAAATATTTAAGTAGATTAATTCTGTATTCTTTAGATAAGATTAATATCAATAATCAAAATACATCATTTATTAAAGTCATAGATCTCAACTTAAATTATCTCAATTCTCATTATTTAAAATTTTTATATATCCAAAAAAGAATCTAGTTTGTTTTATAAGTTATTAAGTTTCCTAAATAAATCCTAAAATTGTTTAATAATAGAATTAAATGTAGTGAGATAAATTAAAATTCGTCACTTCAAATAAATAAGGTTATATTACATATTTAATTTTTTTGTGAATGAACATAAAATCGAATTTAATAATTTATTAATTATGTTTTAATCAAAAATGATAGAATTAGAAGAATAATTCAATTGTAGCCAAACCATAAACAACCTATCCTTATGGTATTATTAGATAAAAACTTAAAGAGAGAGGAACGTTTATTACGTGCAATTTGCATGGAAAATATAGAGGCAGAGACTAAAATAATTGGATTTAAAAAAGTACTTTCATTGATTGAAGAAAACTAAAAGAATAAAGCAGAAAATATCTAAAGTTTAATTAAAGTTGATGTGGATTTGGTCGAATAATTTGTGAATGAGCTGCGTAAATTACAGTAAAAAACTATATAATAATTTGATGAGTTAATAGCTAATTCGACAGAGTGGATAAATAATCTTAATCTTTTTGGATAAAGGGACTTAAAATATAATTTCTACGATGAATTAGATGTGATAATTGAAAATAAAATGCAGAACTCATTTAATAAAGATTCTATTATAGATTAGATAAAATCACTTAATAATTCATTTTCAAATAAAATAAGTTCCTCAATATCAGTTCTCAGAAACGAAAAATTATATTCCTAATGTGAAAAAATATTGATCAATTTGAATCTAATCCATCATATGAAATTAATTGATAATTCAATTAAAGAAAAAGAAGGTTGTTATGCAATGGCTTTTAATTAATCTGGATCACTAATGATTTCAGCTTCTAATAATATCATTAAACTATGAAGCTTTGATTTAGGAAAGCTAAATGAAATCAGTAAATTTAATGGACATACTAAGACAATATGTTGCCTATAATTTAGTAAGAATAGCAATAGTTTCTTATCAGCAGGTTTTGATAATTCAATAAGATGTTGGAAATAGATTAATAAAAAAGAATTGAAGAGTTCCTTGCCCTATACCGAACATACTGATTGTATAGATTGCTTAATAATTGATCAAGTTGAAAATTAACTTGTATCAGGAGGACGAGATAATTCAATGAAAATTTGGAAAATAAATTTTACGGATAACCAATTAACTTATCGATATTCATTAAATAAACATACACATAATGTCTATAGTTTATGCTTTAATGAATCGGAAGATACTTTGATTTCTTGTGGTAGTGATAAATAAATAATTATATGGAAGAAAGACAGTCACCAAATATGGTAATTTGGATGCGTAGTTACAATTGATTGATGAATTTGGATGCAGATTATGCTTCATAAATGATAAATAATTTATATGGGTGACTGGTAATTAAGTAAGCAAAGATTGCTTCTGCACATTTGAATTGTAGAACTAAGACTATCAAGAAAATTTTAAAAGGAAGTCAAATTAATTAAAAATGATTTAAATAGTGATACCAATATGGCTCCAATCAGGCATGATAATAAAAAGAACCTAATGGTTGTAAAGCATAATGTTACCTTTATTTTATCAAAATATTAAATGACGGAAAATTAAAAATAATCACAGAGATAAAATATGAATCAAATTCTCCATTAGGGGCATTAACTAATGATGGAAAATATTTAGTAACTTTGAATAAAGTGGAACAGAAATACAATATATATGAATTATTTATTATTTGATTATAATGTTCAATCATTTTTGAAATCTTCTATGATAATAATTAGAACAAGGAAATTATAAATAAACATCAATTATGATATAAAGATTATATTTATAATGATATATGGTTGCCTTTATTGTAAGCACCCTTAATTTTTGCCATTGAAATCATGCCAAATTTGTTTTAATAGAAACAATTCTGACAGCAAATGAACTAAATACTACTAATAAAAGATTGAATTCTATGAGAATGTTAATTAAATAAATTAAGAAATTCATATATTTAATCAACGTTTAAAAGAAATCTCAATAATGGTAATCATATATGCTATTGATTTGGCATTCATAACAGTTTGATTAATCCAAATCAATATATGACTAATGGATAATGTAATATCATCACTCAATAATTATCTCATAAAATGGCTACTTATATTAAGATTTCGCAGTGCAAATTTTATTACTTGAAAATGTTGAATTTTCAATATAACCTAAAATCTTTGTTTCCCAGTAATCAAGATTTTTTAATAACCTTTAAGATAGGTTGAATTCTAATTTTGATATATCACTTAGAATCTTATTTGTTGATGCTCAAGACTAACAATCACACCCTAAATTTAATTAATCATTCGCTAGCCAAAATCCAGTCAACAACTTGTTTATTTAAGATTAACATTTTCTGAACAAGGAGATCATAGGACATTCTCTTATTTTCAACATCATCATATAATCATAGGAAATTGAATTCCTTATTATTTGTCACTTAAAATTCCAATAATTGCTATCCAAATTGTTATAATCAGACAAGTATTTATCTTATATGAAAACTATTGACACAAAAAAATTTCTCTAACCTCCTTCCTTCCAATTTTATATAGCTTCTTTGAGTATAGAATTTTTATACATGAGCAATTGTAGATTGTCTTCTCCCATCAGTTTAAATTGCTTCTCTATGCAGTGTATGTTTAATGCATTTATTCGATTGTCCTATTGTAGGGTTGAAGCCATCAAAGCTATAGGTTTAAGCATAACACTCTAAATTGATCCATTACTTTATCCAATGTAGACTGAATAGTTATATTTTTCAGGTTTTTTGATTGAATAAATCTCATATGCATTGTAGAATTTATAAAAATATTCAAAAAATCATTTTAATAATGATTTTTAGGAATAAATTATTAAAGCTTTTATTTCCCTTTTGTCCTCTTATGGAAAATTATAAAATCTTTTTTCTAAAACATTTAACCAATTAATAGGGTTTTTTGATGCAATTAAAAATATCAAAATACTGAAGAGATATTGGAACTGTTCAATAAAACTAAAAAGAAACTACTTGTGAAGAATGTTGTTAAGATCAAATTGAAAATAGCATAGCCAACTTCAATTTATATATGTTATTAGGTTAACTTTGCAGAGTCCTTTGCACATTGATTATCTGCTTTGACAAAATCAAGGGGAAATAATCGAAATAATAAGTAGCCTTAAAAACTTATATATTATATAGGCAATTCAAATCATTAAATTAATTCATTTTTATGAATATTTCTGGCTGCCCATTCAGGGCGAGTGGAAATATTATCAAAGTTTTGTTATGATCTGCCAGGTCATAATTTCCTTCAACTCTTACGACAAGTATTTCTACTTCATATAGGCTTCATCCACCGATTATTTCACCTATATCCACTAAGTATTCACTTCAATACTCTCCAAGTCAATCTCTGCTTTCCTGTTCTTAATTTTGTTCTGGGTATATTGAATTGTAAATTACTTTTAATTATTTAAAATGCTATTCCAGTTATCTGAATAAGATTTTATTTCTTCATAAAGTATTTCAAGTTGAATCATTGATTATCCAACTAATCCTTCAGGTCACTATCGGATATTATCCTATCAGTATTTTTGGGCTCATAACCCTTGCCATTTTAACTCTCAAATAGCTCATTTCTTAAGATTTATAAATAGCAGAATTGTTTGAGTAGGAGAAATTTTGCCATCTAAGCAGAATAATTATCTATCTCATAAATTCAATCATTAAAGAATTTAGCTACCATCTTATAACCTATCGCAAAAATCTTTTATTATCATTGATACTTTAACATGATGGACTAAGATCTCAATTTAAAAATTAAGAAAGATATAATGAGATTTTTGAAGCACCTCTCTCCACTTTATTTAACTTTAATCCTTAAAAATTTGGCAAAGAGAATTATATCTAGAAGAGTTAGCTGGGTCTTTTACGATCTATTATTTGACAGTATGTAAGGAGTCTTATNAACTTGTTTATTTAAGATTAACATTTTCTGAACAAGGAGATCATAGGACATTCTCTTATTTTCAACATCATCATATAATCATAGGAAATTGAATTCCTTATTATTTGTCACTTAAAATTCCAATAATTGCTATCCAAATTGTTATAATCAGACAAGTATTTATCTTATATGAAAACTATTGACACAAAAAAATTTCTCTAACCTCCTTCCTTCCAATTTTATATAGCTTCTTTGAGTATAGAATTTTTATACATGAGCAATTGTAGATTGTCTTCTCCCATCAGTTTAAATTGCTTCTCTATGCAGTGTATGTTTAATGCATTTATTCGATTGTCCTATTGTAGGGTTGAAGCCATCAAAGCTATAGGTTTAAGCATAACACTCTAAATTGATCCATTACTTTATCCAATGTAGACTGAATAGTTATATTTTTCAGGTTTTTTGATTGAATAAATCTCATATGCATTGTAGAATTTATAAAAATATTCAAAAAATCATTTTAATAATGATTTTTAGGAATAAATTATTAAAGCTTTTATTTCCCTTTTGTCCTCTTATGGAAAATTATAAAATCTTTTTTCTAAAACATTTAACCAATTAATAGGGTTTTTTGATGCAATTAAAAATATCAAAATACTGAAGAGATATTGGAACTGTTCAATAAAACTAAAAAGAAACTACTTGTGAAGAATGTTGTTAAGATCAAATTGAAAATAGCATAGCCAACTTCAATTTATATATGTTATTAGGTTAACTTTGCAGAGTCCTTTGCACATTGATTATCTGCTTTGACAAAATCAAGGGGAAATAATCGAAATAATAAGTAGCCTTAAAAACTTATATATTATATAGGCAATTCAAATCATTAAATTAATTCATTTTTATGAATATTTCTGGCTGCCCATTCAGGGCGAGTGGAAATATTATCAAAGTTTTGTTATGATCTGCCAGGTCATAATTTCCTTCAACTCTTACGACAAGTATTTCTACTTCATATAGGCTTCATCCACCGATTATTTCACCTATATCCACTAAGTATTCACTTCAATACTCTCCAAGTCAATCTCTGCTTTCCTGTTCTTAATTTTGTTCTGGGTATATTGAATTGTAAATTACTTTTAATTATTTAAAATGCTATTCCAGTTATCTGAATAAGATTTTATTTCTTCATAAAGTATTTCAAGTTGAATCATTGATTATCCAACTAATCCTTCAGGTCACTATCGGATATTATCCTATCAGTATTTTTGGGCTCATAACCCTTGCCATTTTAACTCTCAAATAGCTCATTTCTTAAGATTTATAAATAGCAGAATTGTTTGAGTAGGAGAAATTTTGCCATCTAAGCAGAATAATTATCTATCTCATAAATTCAATCATTAACGAATTTAGCTACCATCTTATAACCTATCGCAATAATCTTTTATTATCATTGATACTTTAACATGATGGACTAAGATCTCAATTTAAAAATTAAGAAAGATATAATGAGATTTTTGAAGCACCTCTCTCCACTTTATTTAACTTTAATCCTTAAAAATTTGGCAAAGAGAATTATATCTAGAAGAGTTAGCTGGGTCTTTTACGATCTATTATTTGACAGTATGTAAGGAGTCTTATTGTTACTGACTAGTATATAATCAAAGTCTCTTTCACTACAGTTTGACTTTTAAATTTGCTCTATCTTATCCTTTTTGAGGTTAACGAGGCAAAATTGTTATTCAATCATCAAATAAAAGCACTTCTTTTATTTAATTTCTTAGCAGGGCCTTTATTTTCTGTTATTCTTTACAACTTCCGTGCAAAGAAGTTCTTATAATGGGCTATTAAATTTTAAACTAATTTTTTAAATAGAAGAATTAATTTTTTATTTTCTCTTCTTAATAATTTTTTCACCAAAAACAAGCAAAAATGCACTTTTATTCGCTCTATTTAATCTTATTATATATTATAAGAAGAATACATTCAATTTATTGGAGATAAACTTGAGACATTTAATCTTTAAGTAAAATTAGTGATCATGTAACTCTAATTAATTATCAAGGATTAATCCATTCTAAATCATGAATGACGAGGTTTCCCATTATTTATTTTATTTTCTCTCTTCCAAAATTAGTTTAAACCATCTTTACCTAAAGAAGGTCAAGCATCGTCATGTACCTTTCCAAGTGATAAATTTTTTTCTTGACCAGCTTACTAGAGATTGCTTTTTAAGGGCTCGGCCTATTAATGGAAAGCTTTAAATAGGGGAGATTGGAATGAAATTATCAGTATTACAATACTCAT